TCAACAACCTCAGATATGCAGACAATACCACTCTAATGGCAGAAAGTGAAGAGGACCTAAAGAGCCTCTTGCTCAGAGTAAAAGAGGAGAGCGCAAAAGTAGGCTAGAAGCTCAACATCAAAAAAACTAAGATCATGGCATCCGGCCCCATCACTCCTTGGCAAATAGAAGGGGAAGTCGTGGAAGTAGTGACAGACTTCATGTTCCTGGGATCCCAGATCACCGCAGACTCTGACTGCAGCCATGAAATTAAAAGACGCCTGCTCCTTGGGAGGAAAGCGATGGCGAACCTAAACAGCATGATAAAAAGTCGAGACATCACGTTGCCAACAAAAGTCCACATGGTCAAAGCAATGATATTCCCAGTAGTCAAGTATGGCTGTGAGAGTTGGACTGTAATGAAGGCCGAGCGTCGAAGAATAGATTCTTTTGAACTATGGTGCTGGAGAAGACTCTTTGAGAGTCCCTTGGACTGCAAGAAGATCAAATCAGTCAATCCTAAAAGAAATCAACCCTGACTGTTCCCTGGAAGGCCAGATAATGAAACTGAAGCTCAAATACTTTGGCCACCAAATGAGAAGGGAGCACTCATTGGAGAAGACCCTGATGCTGGGAAAGATTGAAGGTCAAAGAAAACAGGGACGGCAAAGGATGAGATGGTTAGACAGTGTCATAGATGCAACGAACATGAAATTGAGCCAACTTCAGAGGATGGCGGAAGACAGGAAGGCCTGGCGTGATCTGGTCCATGGGGTCGCGAAGAGTCGGACTCAACTGTGTGACTGAACAACAACAAATTAACACAGTTAAATAAGGCCACGGTGGCTCAGAGGTTAAGATGCTGCACTGCAGACCAGAAGGTCTGTAGTTTGGCAGCTTGTAGTTTGTGTTAATAAAAGTAGCCAAAACCTTCCTGTCTGCAGCTCAGCGTCTTAACCTCTGAGCCACCATGGCCCCATGCCATGACAATAGGCCATGCTATTAGCTTTTCCACATCTCACCTCTTAAAACAGATGGATAAAGTCCTCAGGCGATGATCTCAGAGGAAGAAGAAGAAGAGATTGGATTTATACCCCGCCCTTCATTTGGAGTCTCGGAGCGGCTTACAAACTCCTTTCCCTTTCCCTCCCCACAACAGACACCCTGTGAGGTGGGTGGGGCTGAAAGAACTCTGACACAAACTGCTCTTTCAGGAACAGCTGTGCCAGAGCTTGTGACTGACCCAAGGTCACATCAGCAGATGCAAATGGAGGAGTGGGGAATCGAACCCGGTTGTCCCAGATTAGAGTCTGCACACTTAACCACTACACCAAACTGGAAGACAGCCTATTAGAAATAGCAAGTACACGAATAATTGTAACCAAATCCTGCCTCTCTAAGAAGGGTCACATTTGGTGAACCAGCCCAGGCTGGTTAAAGATGCTCCATACAATACAGGAGATCTGTGTTTGTGTTTGCAGATCTGGACATAACTGTTAATTATCTTCATTGTGCATCATGTATTCATTTTACAGGTTTTCCCCATAATTTATTTCTACATGTTTCTCTTTGGAGTTAACTGTTGCCAGGAATCACATATCATGCTGATTTATAGTTTAAAAACATAGAGGCTGGCACCAGTAATCTTTGAAAAATCAAAGGTGTTGTTGTGGTAAAGTAACTAACCATTCAGACCCATTGAACTCGTTACAAGATTTCTAGTTGAGTTCAGTGAACTTGGCCTTCTCCATTGATTCCATAGCCATCATTTCAAGCCTGAATTATTAATCTTGAAAATTAAAGCCCTACATCTCTTGATTTTGGGTTCTAAAAAACAAGCAATCCCAACTATTATAAGGCAAAGATTATTGGATTAGTTTGTTGTTCTGAAAGGTTCATGTAGCAGGAACTCCTTTGCATATTAGGCGGCACACCCCTCATTTAGCCAATCCAAGAGTTTACAGAGCTCTTCTTACAGGGGCTACTCTAAACTCTTGGAGGATTGGCTACATTAGGGGTGTGTTGCCTAATATGCGAAGGACTTCCTGCTACAAAAAGAGCCCATATTCTATGCTATGCTTACATCATGTGTTAAGTGATCTGACAGCTTTCCCCAAGATTAATGTGACAAAGTTGCTAAACAATTCTAACTTTGCAAGCAGTTGTTACAGCAACCCCCAGTATTGATCATCCATCATCCAGTATGGAAGCTTTTTTTTTTTTTTAATGGTTGATTCAGGAGTCATGCCTGCTGAGTCTCCTGTGTGAGCAAGGAACTTTTCTGTTTCTTAACCAATGAGGTCAGTGCATAAGAACAAAGGATTATATTTAAGATGCAGCCAGTGACTGAATCTTTCAGAGGATTTGTTGGGCTACAGAGACCATCTTTAAACTGTTTCTCATTTTCTCATGAACTTCCACTCAGCATTTTACCTGAAAAGGGGGAAGATGCACAGGCAAATGTTTTCTATTTCCTGTGCTGAACCTTGCAGTGGCTTTCCTAGAAGAAGTGCTTCATCACTTGAAAGAAGATAGTGGGTCTCCAAGTCCATATTCCCTCAAATCTGAGAATCTGTAGAAGGCAATTGTCTCTCGTCCAGAAATCTTGTTGCCATCTGCCTTTGGCAAGCACTGGAGCAAGCATTGCAATTCCTCAAGTTAACTTCTTCCTGTTTTCTGTTTATCTGGTTCCTGTTTTTCTTTGATGGAGCCAAAATCTTAGCTTCATTGAAATAGTGCTTTTTTTGTACCAGCTGTGTACTGATCTGATAGTTATAACTTATCGTGATTCCTGGGTATACATGACTGTTAACTTCCATTAGAGCACTTAGAATTCTGTAGTGGTTTTTTAAATGATTTTAGTTTTTCCAAAATATACTGTAGTGTTGACAGTATAGTTCAGTATCTTTACAGCAGCACATGTTATAGATGATATTGTCTTGGGTAATGCTGCCCAGTGACTTTGTAGATGAGTGTTGAGTTGAGGACTTCCATTCTGTTAGCTCATACTCTTCATCCCTATGCTACAATACTGTTCATCCCTATGCTGCAACTGTACCAACATTGCTTGGTGGTGTTCTCATTGCCTGGTTTTTCCCCACTGAATTGTGTTTCAAGCATTTTTAGGTATCATTCTGTTCTAAAGTTATATCAAATCTGCAAGCAAGATTCCCCCATCTACATCTAGTAAGCATTGGATTTAATGGAACTGCCTCTGCTGTAGCTTTTCTCTTTATGGAGTCAGGAGAAGACCCTGTGGAATCACTCCCATTCCACTTTATACCATTTCCAGGTGGAACACTGTTCCTTAAGAGGCAAAGAAAGTATTGTTTTGGAATTGTCTAATTGATGACAGGCACCTCTGCTGAGAGAATTCCTTTTCCTCCCTGTTGTGATTTTAAAAAGGCTAATTGCTTGGGCAGCTCAGCAGTAAAACTGAGCAAATGACTATATATCTGTAAAAACTGTGAAAATTCTCTTTCTATCAACTACATTTGCACATATTCTGTGCATTGCCAGATTCTTTGACCTCACCTGGGCTTTTTATTTTACACTACCCAAAGTGGTGTTAAAGAAAAGTGGATGTAATGTTTTGCCAGTGCAACGGAGATGAAAAGCAGTAAAGTGTCCTAAGGAAGCCTTTAACGTTTATGGAAAAACTTTGCTACAAGGAAGAGTTGGGAGAGGGGTTTGCATTTGTGGAAATGATCAAAACATAAATAGTTGGTTATACATACCAGCTGAAAATATTTGATAAAAGTAAAGAATTATGATTCTGTGCCTAAAAAGCATTCTCTGGGGTGAGGAGAGGATCATAATTGTTGTATTTGATGCCCCATGGCCTGCATCTTTTTCTAGCACAACTACATGTGAAGTAGTTACAAGTGAAAAAAAATTATTATACTTCAAATTCACATACAACTTGAAAATGGAAAACAGTAGCTGCATGCTTGTCTTGGAACTCTGGAAAGTATACATTAGATAAAAGTCAACACACATTCTGTGTGAACAATTAGAGGAATGGAAAAATTAATAGGAAAAAATCACTGATTTTAAAGAGCTTTGGAAGGCCAAAGAACTGGATTCCCATCTGCCCATCTGTCTTGTTTTAGCAGTTATTTTGTCATCACCCCTTCAAGTGTTTGAGATTTCTTATTCCTGTTCTTACGATGCCATATTAGAATGATCATGGTATGTCCTGAAATGAGATTGTCCTGGTGTTTTCTCATATTCCATGTTGGAATGAGGACACTTGAGTCATCAGAGAGCTACAATGCACAGTGTTGACACATGCACATCTTTACACCACAGAAGGAAAATTCACAAAGAAGTTCCATGGAGAAAAGTGAACTGAAAGACTATACTTTGGCCCCGGTATAAGTAAATGTTATTTTGTGAGACAAACAATCCCAGCCTTCTCCTAAGAATGGAGTATTACTTACAGCAGAATGCTCTGCCAAGACACCTCATGTATTACACAGTGTTGTGCATTCTGTTCGTGGATTAACTGAAGTTTTTGTGTGTTCATCCTGATGCAGCACTAAAATGTAGTTTCATTTCTGAAAACAGACACTCAGAGCTGGTTTTTTTCTCTCTGACAGTTATTTCTGCTGAATCATTCATTGGAGCCCTGTTTGCCAGAGCACACAGCGTTTACTTGTGTGAAATGTAATATTAATCCTAGTCCAGATGTTACCAGATATTATTCTGTAAAGGGAATGATGGATCATAGAAAGAGGAACCTCAAAGCAGCTCACCCAAGAGGAACTGGTCCTTTCTTTCTTCCAGCAATGGCTGTCAAACATTTCACTTTTCTGACAAAAAGAGATTCCTCCAAATATTTGAGGCCAGTTATAGCAATTATCCCTGTTGATTTATTTTAGAAGTTTGGGTTAACCCTGCCCCCCCCCCCCCAGCTGTATTTCCACATTTTTTCAGACAAGTTTTTTTGTACGCCTGGCAATGCAGAGACACAGTCAAGTCATGGTATAAATGCTACTGATTCTTGTTTTGTTTTGCAGAACCCACCAACACAATACCAGTTTTGACCAAAGGAGCAAACACATCTTCACGTAAGTCAAATTAAATGATTTGTCCCTCTTCAGCTAATTCTTCACACTCAGGTCTTCACTCCACCTTTCTCTACAGTTTGCCTGTAGCTAGAGCTTCAGCATGCAGAAGGGTAAAAAAGCAACCATCTGATTTCCTGGAAATCTAAATCTTCACTTCATTTAAAGCAATAAATGAGCTCTCTGCTAGAGTTTTAGAGACTCTCTCAACTTTAAACATGGTGTTAAGTTATCCACTGCAACAACCTGTCAGGAGTGGTAGAGCTCAAGAGGACGCGGTTTAAAAATAGCAGCCTGCTGGGTCCTATATTCTTCTTTAACAGTTTTCTGTTTGGCCCAGCATGTAGATGCCTCTAATTTCCTCCGCTGTTGCATGTGCCCTTCTTATAGCATGGCAGTGCTGGATTTCAGTGTTTTAATCTGGAAAGTTAAAACACGTTCATATCATAGTTGATGCTCTTTTGCTTTTACTGTTTATGTTGGCTCCGGTTCCTCCATAAGGACATTGTGCTTTAAATAATAATAATAATAATAATAATAATAATAATAATAATAATAACGCACCAAATCTATTTTAAGTTTCTCCTTACAGGATTTTTTTCAAGGTAGGGTTCACAAAGTATTTACAAGGAGGGCCACATTTATATTCTCTGTGAATTGCCCCTTACAAATTCGCAAAATGGTAATCTGCCCTCGTTCAGGTCTTGCATGCTCTAACTGCATGCTGCTGCTTGGTTCTGCTCATTTGTCAGCTTTGTAGCAATGGAAAGTGGATGACACGTCATTAGCTCTTCTGGATTTATTTATTTTTTTGGTATAACAGAAGTTGTTGGTGGAATGAAATTGCCTGCATTTTTGAGCTAGATCAAAAAAGGGGCCTCAGTCATTTGCTTTGAAATTGTCCTCAGTCTGCAACTTGATAAAGCTTCTTGGCATGTGTTTGATCTTGCATTTAGCTAAGGAGATCTTCAACCTTGCTTTAAACTTGTAGGGAAGATTAACAAAAGTTGACAATTTCAGAAGCCTAGACAATTCTGATTTCTCTCAGTTCTCCTTATTTGTTAGTTTCTAGGTTCATAAATTCTCTTGACTGCTAGCATGTATCGTTCCCTGTTTCTCACTTTCCAAGCCACTTCAAGTTGGATTTCTTTTCACTGAAAACTTCTTTCACCTGTCTGCCACATTTCGACACTAAACCCGCTTCCCTGCCCTGGATATTTCCTAAATTAGGCACTTCTTATGGACTCTTAGTCTTCGTAGAGCCATCTAAACATAGCCTTTTTCTCATGTAGCATGGAGTCTTCAAATCGACAAACGAATTGTCTTTTTTCATCCCTGGCCTTATACGTAATCCCTTCCACAATGACTGATCCATTGTGCTGTTAGAAACAACTGAAAAACATCTTCCCAAGTTCTGCCAGTTTTCCGCCAACTGTAGTAGCACTTTTCCCCACAGCTTGCCTAAGACATCTTGTACTTACTTTGAAGTTTCTTGCTTTCCAGAGCGTTTTCCTTTTATTTTTTTAAAAACCATTTTCCTTTCCTGGAAAGGCTAACTCCAGGCTAAAGCACAGCTTACAGATCCCCATTATCATCTTGCCTTCTGTATATTGCAGAGCCTATAGAGAAGATATCAGCCTCCACTGAAGGAACAAATACATCTTCCTGTAAGTACATAATGATTAGCAGTCTCAGTGAATTCATGGCATACATTTTTCCAGTTCGGTAATATGCGTAGACTGTATTCTAATTGACAGGGATGCGGCTTTATTTATATATTTTTTTTATTTTGCAAAGCTTAAGAGCCAAGTAGGTTTTCCAGGATCTACCTTATAGGCAGAGAAAGATAGAGCTCTTGCATGCTAGTGAAAAGAAAAATCCTAGTCTGTCCCCTCCCTCTCTGCTGCCAGGCCTCAAAGTACTGGTTATTGGTTATTGAAGTGCTTCATGGCCTAAGGCCTCATATTTATCAAAGTGCATCTCCAGATATATTCCCATGCCCCAATTATGCTCCTCAGGTAGGCTTCTCCTGGCATAGGACTGTGCATCTGACAACAGCTAGGATCTGGTCAATAGTGGATCTGTTCCCTTGGAGTGGCCTACCAGGTGGCACATTTGGCGGCTTTTTAAATTTTGTGCGCTTTCAAGTTTGTTACTTGGATGTTGAAATTTGTGTCCTTTCAACTGGGTGTTGCATTGTTAGCTGCCATGAGTCTGAAGAGATAAGGTGGGATATGAATGCTTTAAAGACATGTTCGTAGAGGTGGATGGACTTCTGTAAGAGCGTGGCATTTTGCTGTGCCAAAACTCTGGAATGGATTAGAGAAACTGGAATGGCTTATGGGATTTACTCTGGAGCATCACAAAGAGGTCTGTGCATTTTGGTGGTATTTTTACCGAATGTCTGTGGTGCACTTTCATGCCACATCCTATGAGAAAAGCTCTCTAAGGCAATAAAAGCACAAATACCCTGTATTGTTAGACTATCAGGATGTGAGGCTGGGGTCTTCCACAGCTCCTCATCCACTTTGATCCCTGTTTTGCATTTGAATGGTCCTCCAGTGCAACGAGAGAGAGTGTTTTTAACAATTCCTCACTTCCTTGAATACTCTAACCATAATCTGAGAATATTACTGGAATGTGCTAGGGTGCAGCATCTCAAGCCTGAGTCTTCTGACCTGGAAAGGAAGAATAGAGTTTTTGTCATCTCTTTCCATGCTTGAGGTGAGGTCTGTGGCTGTGGCTCCCTGGTAGAGCATCTTCTTGGTGTGCAGAAGGTCCCAGGTCCCATCCCAGCATCTCCAGTTAAAAAGATCAGGTAGCAGGGGATATGAATGACCGCTGCCTGAGAACCTGGAGAGCTGCTGCCAGTCTGAGTAGACAATACTGACTTCGATGGTCTGATTCAGTCTAAGGCAGTTTCATGTGTGTTCCGGCTGGAAGCTGCCAGCACGCAAGGTAGCATTTGAGGCAGGAGACAGAGAGGCAAAATAATACATTAACCGCACTAGAACACTCTGCTTATTTCTGCAGAAAAGCCAGAACTTGCTGAAAAGTAACTGGTGTTGGGTTTGCTGTGGGAATGTTTTCAGCCCCAACTGGAAACAACTACTAGCTGACAGGTTTCTGCTTCTGCTGCTATCCTATTCCACCACTGCTAGGGAACACAGTAAACCAATAAGCACTGGCTTGATCAATGGAGCATTTCTGCAGATGGAAAGAAGCAGTATTTCAGGCTGCAGCGGGAGGTGAGAAAGTCATGCTCTATGGACGGAAATCCTTCCCTCTGCAGAAACCCTCTGGTGGAACCAGGGAACTGAAACTACAGTGAGACTGAGTGATCCAGCTGAGCTGGAAATGAAAAAGTACCGATGAAAGGAATCAAAGGAGACAGTAGCCACATCCTGCAGATAGCAAGAGACCTGGGAATAGAAGAAACCTGCATCTTGTCCCCTTCAGCAATTCCTTCACCAGTTGCCATTTTTAGGCAAGAGGGGATGTGGCCAGACTAGAGGTTTGAACCTTTGTTGATCCCATGTGAGCCAAGAGGGAATAGTTCTCACCCATATAGTGAGGTGACAAGTATTTAAGTGTTGTTACTTTGGGGCTTGTCCTTTGTCGCTAATCTGAAAGATGAACCTAATGGCATATATCCAACCAAACTGTTCCTCTGACAAAATGGTGTTTCCATTTGCAGGAAAGGAGGGCAGTGATTTCCCCTCCCTCTGCAGACCCCCACTTTGTTTCCTAGGCTGCTGATGAGGGTCTGCTGACCCCAGGAACAAAACCTGGGGGAGTCAGCGTACTGAAGGAGGAGGGGAAGTGGGGAAGTGGGAAAGTCCTCCTTTATGAAGTCCACCAATAGCCGGATCCATACCAGTGTTCTCCTAATGTCAAGAAGCTCCAGTTAATGCATATAAGCAGAGAGCGACCTGTAATTTGCCTCTGAAGTCCAGTTATACAAAAATAAGAGAAAACCTTTAGAAGCCCCTTGCTTTGGTGTTCCCACAGCATGTAAAAGAAAATAAGGTACATTAGTGCGCTTTCTTTGTTTTGTGCAGTGCTGGATTCACAGGAAGTAAATTTGATTAGCTTCATCATCTGGATTTCGAAGAGGAGTCACATGGACATGATATGCTTTGGTTGCACCGATTATTTTCATTTTCCAGGATGCCAACTGTTTTCATAAGGCAGAGTCAATCAGTGGCTTGAATTCAAGCCGAACTATTGCCTTTCTTGGACGGGCAAGCAGAGCTTCACACACAAAATTCCACAAGTGCCTCTGTGGTGTAGCAGCTGCGTTCTGGGATGGTGGAATTGTATCATGCTTAGATGGTGGTGACCTGCAAGAGTGTCTCGGAAGGCTATCGTCTCCTGTTGAGGCGACCTTGCAGAAAGTAGCCAGTCTGCACAATAACTCTGAACTGAAGTGGTGGAGTCTTTCACTCCCAACCTTGATTGTTTAATTATCTTTCTTTTGGCATGGTGGCACAGACCAAGTGCTCCAAACTAAATAGACTGTTGAATTGATCCATGGTGACAGCTTCCATGTTCTGTAAAGCCTATCGTGCAAAAGTACAGATGAACTATTTTTAGGTGCCCTTAATTCACATTCAGTACCTTTTACAGAGGTAAAATGTTTAATTTATCCCAACAACTAGAACTTGATGGAAGTGGAACTGAGAAGAAAACAGTTAACTTCAATGAGACTTAAGATTTCAGTTGATGCGGTCCTTGTAGGTATTAGACTGATTGCTACTTTTAACTGTTGTCACAGGATTTTGTTATGAAAGTTACAGGAAATTTTTACAGGTTTTTTTTTCTTTTGCAGTTAGAGAAATGTAAAAGTGAAGTGTAAATTAGTTTTTATCAGCTGCATCATCACATCGCTGGTATCGGGGGTGACACTCTAGTTTCTGGGCAAAACTCTGTGGTTTGAGCCCAATTTTACCATACAGTTTTGCCCAAAAACTAGAGTGCCACCCCCTGACGTTGGCAATGTGATGACATCACTTCTAGGCGATGCCATTAGGTGACATTTGGAGGTGGTGTTCCCCCCACCAGCCAGCTGGCCATTGGCAGAAAGGGGTCCACAAAAGCAGGGGAACCCCTGCCCAGATGGGAACCTGACAACCCTACTACTTGCTGGTCACTACGCCAGCTCTTGTCTTTCCTCAAACATTGAGCTCAGTGGTGATCTGGTCCATGGCCTTTCCGCTAGAGCTATTGCATGACTACTTTCAGGAAGGGTAATAAGACAGCTTTATTTCAAAGAACTTTCTGTTAACTGGTTGACATGCTTTTTTTGAGTATTAGATTCGGCATTCAATGGAACACATCGCACTAGGCTAGCAGGTATAGAATCAACAGTGATTCATGCACCTATGGTAGAATTTACCCCACTAGGTAAAAAAAACCCCACCATATACTGTTTTGTTTTGTTATGCTGTACTGTTTTGTTAATGATATAAGATTGGGTATTATAGGGATTTTTAGAATACCTCTATAATAGCATTCAACAGCAACAACACAAAAATCAATATTGATGTACTTTGATAGGGCTCTTTTTAACAAATGTTTTTGTCTTCTTTTGTTATACTGTCAGTGAGCAAAGGCTTTATTTCTGATTTCAAGCTGTTTTATTCCAATAGGCCATTTGGAGCTGAAATGAGCCATTAAGGAAAACTCTGTCATCTACTTTTCAAAGTAACAAAGATTTTTGTTGCTATTTTTATCATTTTGTTTTTTAAAAGGAAGCAAAAAAACCTGCTCAGAAGCAAAAGGGCTGCACAGTAATATGATGTGGTTGTCAAAGGTCTGCATCGAAGCCTTCAAAAGAGAGAATATGCGGAAGCAGAAACACAAACAGAATTAGTGTAGTTCCACTTGTGCAAGATCTTGTGTGCTTTTCTCCTTATATATTGTAGGGCTAGAAATCGTTTCCATCAGATACTGTGCAAGCAGAAATGCAAGTGGGGGTAGAATAAGTATTATTTATTTTGTAAATCCTTTTCTTGTGTTTCTGCATGAGCAAGAGCTCTAGCACAAGTGGGAATTTTGCTCTGGATCCAATTTAGGGTTGCCAGGTCCCCCTGGCTACCGGCAGGAGATGAGGGATGTAGAGTTGCCAGATCCAAGTTGGGAAACTCCTGGAGATTTGTGGATGGAGCCTGCAGAGGACAGGGGCTTCAGTGGGGTACAGTGCCATACAGTGCATCCTCCAAAGCATCAGTTTTCTCCAGATGAAGTGATCTCTGTAGTCTGGAATAGAGCTGTTATTCCAGGGGATCCCCAGGTCTCACCTGGAGGTATGCATCCCTAATCCAACCCCATGAAACTCTGAGAATGAAATAACTTTCTAAGCATTCAGTTGTTTAATTTTGGAGCACCGAGCACCTGTAAAAAGAATTGGCATCTAGAGTTCATGATTGGAATGTGTTCTAGTTGCTGTTGGGAAATCTGATCTGCAGTCCTGTGAAGTAAATAAAGCTATCTGAGAACCCCTTTACATAAGAATGCTTCAGACTCGGAAATCATGTGATGTAGAAAAACAACTTGTATTCCTCTTTGTGAAATAAATTGATATGTATGTGTGTTACCTATGTATCTATCTGCCTACCTGCCAATTCCCATCTTTTATGTTTCATAGCGTTGTGAGCAGTCCTCCCTCTAAGCTGTGGAGTCTTGTGAGCAAAAATTCTACTTTGTGAGCTACTGGCATTAAAGCTGTGAGCAAGTGATTTGGCTACTGCATAAGTTAGTTTGCTCTGGAGCCCTCCTTCCTGAGCTAAAACAAAAATGTGTGAGCCAGAGGCTGGAAAACTGTGAGCTAACTCACACTAACTCAGCTTAGAGACTTTGTATGTGTAACATTGGGCATCAGGTTGAATTGATTTTAAATCAAGATGTTTAAAATAATCAAAAAGACAAACCAATTTAAATCATTGATCTAAATGAAGTTTCCAGCTTCCTAATTCATATATTTCCCAGACAACCATGCATACAGATTGATTGCTATAGCAATTAAAATATATTGGCTTGCACCTAAATTGGAGGCTTCATACAACTTAAGGCAATAATCAGATACCTTTAGTCATGCCACCACAAGAAGGCTCAGAATTATATCTGCTTTAAAAGGTCATCTGTGAAGCAGCACAGATTCCTACTTGGTCCTTCTCTTATTTGTTGAGGTGCTGTCTACTCTGTCACAAAGGCTGAGGGTGGACAACACGGTTTTTTTTAGAAGAAAATAATGACGCAGAGAGAAAGTATGGGAATTTTCATCCTGTTAAAACTTCCTGTTCCTTTGCTCACTTAACTGAAGTGCTAACCAATTAAGCAGGTGTTCTCCTTTCATGAGTATGGTTCTGTATTTTCTAGCTGAATTTGGTGTCTCGGATCATAGGGATACAGAGGCGCCCCTTTTGTATTTTTTAAATATGTGAGTGTGTGTGCACCTGGAACATGGCAACCTCTGGTGAGGGACCCCTAGTGGGGGCCTGGAGGATATTCAGAGAGGTGGCTGAATAAAGCCTGCCCCTGCCTCCCACCTCTGGTATTTCAAGGAGGTCTCCCATCCAAGTACTTGCCAGAGTCGACCCTGCTTAACTTCCAAGATCTGACGAGATCGGGCTTGCCTGGGCTATCCAAGTCAGGGCAATATAGAGAGGCTTTTTTGAGAGGCATAGGATACTAGTTGAACATAGCACCTGTTTGTGAAATATGATATCTACTTAAACTGCTGAGTGGGTCAAAAAAAAAGAGTTTAAAAAAAGCAAAATTGGGGGGGGGTTCTGTGTGAAAATTTTGGCAGTAGGAGCAGTGCGCGCTGTCACTTTACAGCTCTTCCTTTGCTGTTCTGCAGACCAGATAAATGACTTACACTGGTATAACAGTCTTGATCTGGGTTATTGAGTTTCACAGGAAAGTCTTACATGCATTATCCTTTTGAGATAAAACAATTAATAACACAGTCAGTTCTGTGGTTTTTCCAGTGGAGGTCAAAGTGGTAAAAGGGCAATGAGAAGTGTGAACAATATTGGAGCTGGAAGAAGCTGACTCTGCAATCATAAAGGAATAAGGGGGAGAATATATAATGGGTGAACGTAGCTAGTAAAAGGGAAGGGGTATTAACGGCTGTTCACTACCTGCATATTTTCTGTGCATAAAGAATAAATCTGTGTGACTGTCAGCTGAGACAGGGCAGACTGGCAGAAGAGGTTCAAGAATTTTAGCCTCTATATACTTATATTATGTGGGATGGAATTGCATTTCTAGGGGTTTTCTTAGCATAAAGAATATAGTACACATGCTATTAATGTTTTATTATTATTTATTATTTATATGGCGTGATCAATGTTCATGGCGCTCTGTAGCAAAGAAAAGAGAGTGAGTGGGGAGGGTGAGAGAGAGCGCTCTTCGCCAAGGAGATTGCAGTCGACAGGATACCAGTAGATGGGAGAAGCAAGGGGAAGATTACTATGCAGCTGTTAAAGAAGTCGAGGGGTGAGGTTAAATAACACAGCCATTGTGGAAGTAGTGGTTAGAGTATTGGATTGTGATCTGGGTGGGAGACCTGCATTCAAATCCCCATTTTGCCATGTAGATTATGGCTCGTGGGTGATCTTAGACCAGTCATTCTGTCTTAGGTAAGTGACCCCACAGGGTTCTTGGGAAGATAAAAATGAAGATGAGAGAACCATGTATATTAATCTGAGATCCTTGGAGGAAGGTTGCAATAATAATGTAGTAGAGAGATACAAAAGGTAGGTTTTGAGGAGGGAGATGAAAAGGCAGAGAGAGGTGGAACCATATGAGTATTCAGCGAAGGTGCTATTGAAAGAGTAAGTAACTGGAAAAGAGAAAGAGTGGAGTGATGTGCTCTCTACAACTCACTCCAGTTTTCTTTCTTTCTTTCTTTCTTTCTTTCTTTCTTTCTTTCTTTCTTTCTTTCTTTCTTTCTTTTGTTCGATTTATATTCCGCCCTTCCTGCAGGGCAGGCTCAAGGCAGTTTACATTCTGGCAGCATTCTGTATCAATTGTAGCTTCCAGACACTCTCCAAGGGCAGCCCCATGTAGAATGCATTGCAGTAGTCTAATCTAGACAATATCAGGGCATACGCCATAGCGGCAAGATCTTTTTTGCCCAGGAAGTGATTCAGCGGGCTCATCAGACTAAGCTGCTGAAACATGTTCCAGGTCACTTTCATCGCCTGGTTAACAGGAGGCCTGCCTCTAGCAGCACCCTTCAAGCTAGGAACCTGTTATTAAAGTTGTAATTAATGTTTTCCACGTGATTATCCATAATAATTGTATGAGATAGTTTTATTGATCTATAAACTGGGGGAAAGGAGAGAATAAAACCACAAATCTATGTGATAATCCAAATAAAATAATCAGTCTATGAATTCCCCTGATGGGCTGTGCACGTCAGACCAAAACCAGAACTAAAATTCTCACTTGTATGCTTCATCTCACATTGTGGAAGAAGAGATACTATTATCACGAGTCTGATATAGAACTAACAAGTAACGCAAGTGACGATATAGAGAGCAACAGTGGAACTGAACTGCTCCAGTGACCTATGTAAGAGAGAGTTCAATTCTTTTTGAATATATGAATGGACAACCACATCCATGGCATAGCATTCACAGTTCTTTGGGTATGCTAAAATCAGTTTCTCAACAGTTTTCAGTGCCTCTGGCCTTTTTTCTTAAAGTGAAGTACATGCTGTTTTGTCTTTTTAAAATTTACAAGTATTGTTTAGTGTAGTGGTTAAGTGTGTGGACTCTAATCTGGGAAAACCGGGTTTGATTCCCCACTCCTCCACTTGCACCTGCTGGATG